CTATAACTAATGCTCCGGGCACTGGGGCCTCCTAGAAATCAGCCTCACTGAGCCAAACAAGAGGGGGCTCTCCCCCTCACTGAATTTGCATATCTGCAGCAGGAAGTGTCACAAGGACTCTGTGTTCAGAGATAAAAGGACAGGACAGGAGACTCAGACTCTGGCCTTTGTGAAGGAGGCTCAGGCTGGGAGGGCTGGTGGTTCCTGCTGAGTTTTCTGGGGACAGAAGGTGGCCCTGGGGGTGCTCAGTGACCCACAGTGTCTCCTGGGCTGTGATCTCTACAGGAGCGGATCACCAGGTCTTTGTTCCACGGAGTCATACGGTGGCTTTGAACTGCCAACCCTTCTGGTATAAGCAGCTGGACACCAATGGGTTAGAGATAATCCTTGCCCTCTTATCCATAAGCCAGTTAGGGTGTCAGTCAGGCTCTGGGGACCTATGGGGTAGGAGAGGCAGAGTATCCTGTGTGTCCTGAAGACAGTTACTTCCAAAATGATCCAGCCTGTAAACATTGGGCCGAATCAGAAAATCAAAGATAAGTGTGTTGGATCAAATAAATTGCAAAACATCTATGCAGTTTATAAAAACCAGTAAAAAAGGGAAGCAAACTAAATCAACCAAGGTTGCTTCTGTCCAGTTGACTCTGACCTGTGGTGACCTCCTGTGGGTTTCTGAGACTGTTAATGTCAATGGAAGAAGCTGGCCTGTCTTTCTCTCACAGAGGAGCTGGTGGCTTTGAACTGGTGTCTTTTTGGCTACTAGTCCAGCGTGTAACAGAGATGCTATTGATTTGAGGGAAGGGGCCAGAGAAAGGCAATATGCAATTAAGAGGAAAGAGAAAAAGAAATAAAATAGTTACATAAAAAAATGTTAATAGCCATGACAGGAGTCTAGAGCAAAGGCTACATGGTGGAGTGGACCTGGGGGAGGGTTTGTAAAACAATGAAAAAATTTTTCTTTTACTTTTCCAAGAGGGTAGTATACTGGGGGGGCAGGTTGGGAGGGGAGAAAAGTGCAACAATGAATGAATGGAAATCCAAAGTCTCTGTAAATTTTTACTCAAATTAATAATAAATTTAAATAAAACAAAAATGTTAATAGCATATATCAAATTTTTGGACTAATACATGGGGGGACAGATGGACAATTGAAAAAAAAAAATTAGTGAGCTGAAGTTGTGAGAGAAATTCACAGAAAAAGAAACCTAGATGGTTGTAAGGTAGTGGAAGGGAATGTTCATCCTTTCTTATGAAGGCAGGGAAACTCAAGCAAGCCTTCGTTTTTCTTTTAGCTCCATTTGCAGAGATTGGGACTTCTGATAACGCCCGGTTGGCCGGCTGTGGGGCAACAGACATTGTCCTATTCGGTTCAACTCATCACATTGCTGTTGAGTTGGGACTCACTCAGAACTGACCCTCTGGCGCGTTTCCAGAGGCTATAAACTGCACAGGAGGAGACTGTCTATTTATTCCTGTGAGCAACTGGTGGATTCAAACTGCCGGCCCCTGGATTGGCAGTGCGACTCCTTATCCACTAAGCTACTAGAGGTGGGGTTGAGGGGCTTAAAAAGGCACTAACGCTACCTCCTGATCTTCTCAATCACCTGCTACACATCAGAGAGCTGGACAAGGAAAATGACGACAGAAGAACAGGTGTGTTTGAGCTGTGGTGTTGGAAAGAGCGCTGAATACCTGTGGACCGTCAAACAAACAAAGAAATATGTCCTGGAAAGGTGTGGCCAGAGTGTTTACTGGAGGCAAGGATGGCAAAGGTTGTCTTTCAGAACTTGCTGCAGAGGGTCAAGGACTGCAGCCTTCAGTATGGACTGAGGCTCAATGTCAAGAAGACAAAGATTCTCACCACTGGACCAATTGGCAGCATCAGGATGGATGGTGAAGAGATTGAGATTGTTCACAGCTTCAGTTTGCTCGGCTCCACGGTCAACACTCTTGGCACCAGCAGCCAGGAAATAAAAAAACGTATTGCGATGGGAAAGTCTGCTCTTAGGGACCTCTCTAAAGTACTCAAGAGCAACGGTGTCTCTTTGGAGACTAAGGTGCTCCTGATACAGGCCATGGTCTTTGCAATCGCTTGTTATGCATCAGAGAGTTTGACAATGACTAGGGAGGATAGAAGGAGAATTGACTCCTTTGAGCTATGGTGCTGGAGAAGAGTATTGAATGTACCATGAACTGCCAAGAAAACAAACAGATTCATCTTGGAGAGGGTTAAACCAGGCTGCTCCTTGGAGGCAAGGATTCTGGGGCTTCGTCTGACATACTTTGGGCATGTTGTCAGGAGGGATGGGTCCTTGGAGAGGGACATCATGCTTGGTAGGGTGGAGGGACAGCGCAGGAGGGGAAGACCCTCTATGAGATGGATTGATTCAGTGACTGGGGTAATCAGGATGGGTTTGTCAGAGACAGTGTAATTGACACAGGATAGAGCAGAGTTTAGGGCTATTGTACATAGTGTCGCTATGAGTCGCAAGCGACTCGACGGCACATAACAACAACAACTAAGTGAGGCTCTCCCTTGGAGAGGGACATCGTGGTTGGAAAGATGGAGGGTCAGTGAAGGAAAGGGGGACCCCCAAAGAGATGGACTGACACTGTGACGTCAGCAATGGGCTCTTGGGTCTCAAAGATGATGAGGACAGCACAGGACAGGGTCACTATGAGTCATTCTCAATGGCATCTCACAGCAACAACCTCTTGGAAGGCAACTGATGGTCTCTGGCACAGAATTAAAGAGTGAGGCTGCCAGGTCAGAGGTCAGAGTTCTGACCCACCAGCGGCTCCGAGGGAGAACAGACAATCTGCTTCCATAGAGATTTGCAGGCCCGGAAGCTCCACGGAGCAGTTCCGTTCAGTGCTAAAGGGTCGGCGTGAGTCAAAGCCAAGTGGATGGCAGTGGGGAGTTTTGTTTGTCAGAATGGGGGATGTCCTGTCCTTCTGCCTGGCCGTTCTCCTAGGACGCTATCAGCCCTCCCTCCTGTCTGTGTGCATCATGTTTGCAGGAACCAGGCTCTGCTGTGGCCATTGCACGCCTGTCACCCCCCAGCCACGCCCCAGCAGAACTGTGTTATTACTGACCCCATCTCACTAATGAGGGAACTGTGAGCTCACCCATGTGAAGGAAGATGTTGGCTGCAGCGTGCTGTGTAAGAGAAAGGGTTTTCCACACCTGAGCGCTGGTGGGTCCCACGGATGAGTGCACATCAACGGGGTCAAGACTCATTTGGATGCGATCAAAAGACATCATGCTTGGTAAAGTAGTAGTTGTTGTTAGGTGTCAAGTCAAGTACGACGCAGAGCAAGAAACCCCACGACAAACAGATCTGAACCCTGATGGTAGAGGGTTTGAGAAAAATGAAGAGAGTCCCGATGAGATGGAATGAGCCAGTGGTTACAGCAGGCTCAAGCCCAGCAGATGTGGTGGGGACTGCACAGGCGGGCAGGGTTTCCTCCACTTTACGTGAGCCGCTATCGTATGGAGCCAACTCAGTGACCCTCAACAACAAGTGATGTGAAAAGAAGGAAGGGAAAAAGGAGCCCTGGTGGTGCGGTGGGTAAGAGCTCTGCTGCTAATCCAAAGATCAGTGGTTTGAACCCACCGGGAAGCCCTCAGAGAGGGGCCACCTGCTCCCACAGAGACCAAAGCTTTAGGAACCCTGTGGGGCGGGTCATCTCTGCCCACAAGGCCAAGGTCTCCTCCTCTGTCCTTTAAGGCCAAGGTCTCCTCTCTCCTACAAAGCCAAGGTCTCTGTCCTACAAGGCCAAGGTCACCTCTGTCCTACAAGGTTAATATTTCTGTCCTACAAGGCCAACATGAATGGGAGTAGACTTGATGGGTTTGTTGTGTTTTTTTGGGTGTGTGTGTGTGTGTGTGTGTGTGTGTTTGCAGGGGGGGAGGGAAGAGCTTGGGGACTGATATTTTGGTACAATTTCTCTATAAACTGTACTTTAAAGGAAAAAAAAAATTAAAATTTTAGTCTATCTTCTTAAGGTTCTCTTACTTTTTCATGGCCTGTCTATTTTAGAAAGCAAGCCTGATATCTTTTCATTGTTGTTCAAACTCTGCTTATCAGAGAGGTCACTGAGAAATGGAAAACTCTTTGCTTTTTAACACATCTTACTCAGAGAGGGAGCTCTGGTGGTTCAGTGGTAAGAAATTGTCGGTTGGCACCTGGTTCGAATCCACCAGGTGCTCTGTGAGAGAGTTGGACAGTCTCCTCCCGTGTGATTTACTGTCTATGGAAACCTGCTGGGAGGTCAGCTATGGAGCTATGACTCCGTTCCCACTCGATGGGACATAATATCATCACATTAAAAAATAGCAACTCCTTGCACAATTGGGTTGAATTTCTGGAAAGAACATAGAAGCTGTGATTTCTGGCGTTTCCTTGTGAGAAGGAAATCCAGGGCTCTCTCATCAGTTATTGAAGGAATCAGGTGTCTGGTCGGAATCTGGGTTGCTGGTCAGCCTTGAGGAGAACGAGTCTATGGGATAAAGTGTTCCAGGAGGCACAGCATTTGATTGGGGAAGTCCAGTAGGAGGGACAGGCCAGCCCAGAGCTGAGTTTCTGCTCCCCACTCAGCAAGACCCTATCTCCTCAGCCTCATCGGAACCCTGTCTGCTGAAACGCTCCCTCCCACACTGGTTCCTCTGACAGCAAGGCCATTGAACGGTTGAGGAAATTCTCCCAGATGGTGGCCTCCTAGGGAACAGGCCAAGTAGCTTCTGAGCCCTGGAGTAGGTCACATGTCCACGTCCACATGCCCCGTGGCCTGTCCCTGGAGCTCCTTTCACACTGAGAGGTGGGGCGACGAGTCAGACCTCGTTGACACAGGTTGATTTCTAGCTCGGAGAAGGATCAGCTCTAAGACTGGGTAACTTTCTGACCACCTTCCTCTAGCCATACCAGCAACTCCTGTCTTGTCGGTGATGAGAGAAAAATTTCCCACTGAGCACTGATGATCTCTTCGGTCTGTTTCAGATACCGGAACTGCGTTTACACGTACAGAATTCTGCCCAATGAAGACGACAAATTCACAGTCCAGGTGAGTCCCCTGCAGTCCCAGGTTTCCTCGCTCCAGCGCTGGTGGGGAGGGCATACCCAGGAGCACAGATATAAAAGCCTGAATGGCTCTATCCTTCCCCAGAAGTCCATGGGGTCAAGGCCGGCTTAGGGGTAAGCTGTGGCCCCAAGAGTGTCTCTGCACTGTGATATTATGGACCAGGAATGATGACACTATTTGTTTGTGGTGTGGTGCGGGTGAGCAATGGGCTTCACCAATGATTTCCTTCAAATGGGTGAGAGCACACAGTCTAGAAGAGGAATGGAAGTGGGTGTGGAGTGTGCCGAAATGCAGACCATATCCTGTGGCCTGAGAGACTGATGGATGGGTTGGAAGGAAACCAAGAAACGAGACAGAAATAGGACTCTGTTGCGACTGAGCTGATGCTGACTCTTCACGGTGACTCCGACTGTTAGGGTGGAGCCGCTCCGTAGGGTCTTCTTGGCTGCTATCTTTAAGTCCATGGCAGCCTGGTCTTTCTTCCGCAGCTCCTGAGTGGCCTTATACTGCCAGCCTTTAGACCAGTGACTGAGCACAAAGCAGTGGTCCAAGCTTTTAGAACGAGACAGGGTTTCAATTTCTGGACATGTTTGTAGCTCTGGTTGCTGGGAGTGTAATGTATTGGGCTGCTAACCCAAAGGCCAATGGTTCAAGTCCCCCAGCTCTTCTTTGGGAGAAAGCTGGTCAGTCTCCTGTTAGAGCCTTAGAAAGCAGGTGGGGGGCGGCTGCAATCCGGAACCGGCGCCACGGCAGTGGTTTGGGTTTGATTTTCCATCTGTCAGTACCTACCATTCAAAGAGGCCAGTTCCTCTGGGGGGCACCTCCAGGTGGACTTGTGCAGTTGTGTCTAAGAAGAAAACCAAGCAGGAAAGTACCCAGATGCTGTCCATGTGACAGGCACCGGGGGCTCTGCTCAACCACAGCGTGGGCCGGCCAACGAGGAGGCCCAGGAGGCTGTTTCCATCCGGCTGCACCTGAGACCCTGGGGACACAAGAATGAGGGACATGTGCACGTGGTGGTGGTAGGGGGGGGCTCGTACCTGGTCCTCAGGGGCCACAGGGAGGCATGTAGCAAGGGGCCAAGGGTACAGAAACCCTGTCACAGAGGAGCTGGCTTCTGTGAGACTCAGCTGAAGAGAATGTGGACACAGGGCAGGAAGCAGAGATCAACCAACAAACCAGCGATCCTGCTGCCCTCCAGCCATTCTGACCCGGGTGTTACAGAGCAGAGCTGCCCCGTGGGGTTTTCTTGGCACTGACCTTACTAAAGCTGATGGCCAGGTTCTTCTTCTGTGGCTGGATTTGAACTGTCAGCCTCTAGGTCAACAGCTATTGCAAACTGCTTGCATTACCGGGAGCCTCCTGGCATCTCGGGTTTGAGGTGAATAATCCAGAATGGTCTGTTCTGTCTGGGTCCAGAACACAGGGCCAGACTTGGGGTGTGACCACACGCACAGATCACTCCTCGGAAGCGCATCGCTGGGACAAGCTGTGGTAGTGAATGCCCATCAGGAGGCCTGGTTATGGGGTCACATCAGGAGACAGCAGGGGTGGGGAGCCCGGTGGCTGGGTCTGCTCAGTGGGGACTGTGAGTCCGGACCTGTCCCAGGTCAGGCTGGGCCTTGCACTGGCTGCTTGAGCCTCTCGTCACCAAAACAGAGCGCATCAGTTTGGCTGGTCTGGGATGCCATGTGGCTCAGCCTCTGTAGAGGTCCCCAGCAGCACACCTGTCCAGGTAACTGACAGCTTTTTGTCACCAGGATGACTGGCTTCCATGCTGGGGGGCACATGTGGCCAAGGAGCACAGCTCTGGGCAGGCAGCTGCCCACAGTGGCCTGGCAAACCCTTCCAGGCCCAGGCCTCCAGCAGCTGGGGGTTGAACCTTACCGGCGAAGGAGGCTAAGCTCTCTCAAGCTACAACTTGATCAAAGCTTTTGATCTTTCTTCCCCTGTGGTTTTTTCCTATTCTTTCAAAGAGGAGCAGACTTGAGCGTGACTCTGCCCTCCGTGGGAGGAGGCCCAGTGTTGTCTGGACCAGGGTTTGTGCACGTAGCAATCATGTCTGATGTGCATCCCCCACCTGTGTCTGCCTGGTGTCCTGCCCGTTCCCCACTTCAGTGCGGTCAGTTTCCACCCACAGTCACCCGCAGGGCAGAATACAAGTGCCCACAGTGTTTCCTAAGCCGTGATCTTTACAGAAGCGAATTGCCTCATCTGCCTCCAGTGGAGAGGCTGGTGGATTAGAACCATCAGCCTTTAGGTCAGCAGCTGAGTGCTTTACCCACTGCTCCTCGTGGTATCCTGGACCCCTGTAAATTGGGTCATCCGTGCAGCTTCTGAATCTAGTGCTTCCTCTGACTTTGGGAGCTGCTGGGACCCTCACTTGTCACATAACGTGGCCTGTATAGAATAGCCGGGAGAGAGGGGGCTGCTCTAGGACCCTCGGGGTAGGCACCCCAGACTCTTGTCTCAGTTTTCCAATGCGGGGCTGTCTGCTCCTCTGCTCCACCAGCCACCCAATACTTACACTCCACCCCAGAGAGCGTATGACAGACTCAGTTGGCTAGGCCCTCAGTTGGTAAGGCCCTCCCCACACAGCCACTCCGAGGCTGTGGCCTGGGTACAAATGAGCTGTCCTTGGAGCTGGCCAACCGCGTTCCCATCCACTCAGCAAAGGCGGACAAGTCACAGGGACAAGGTGTCGTCACTAAGGCCACATTCAGCAGAGGCGATGTGTGAGCACCTTTTAAAGTATGGCTCTGTCACGTGCCCCTCTGGAGGGGTCTGCCAATCTCCCCACACTGACCATCTGGAGATCTGATGACCAGCGGGCTGTGGGTCCTGGTGGTCTGAGGAGGCATTCACCCCTGAGGATACGCTGTCTGTAAAAACACAAGAAACCAGCAACAGAAACCCAGTTGATGCCAGCTCATGCTGACTTCCATGTGTCAGTTAAGGTGTCCTCCGTGAGTTTTCAGTGGCTGATTGTGCAGGAGACCACCAGGCCTCTCCTCTGAGGCACCTCTAGGAAGATCACCAGGCCTTTCCTCTGAGGCACCTCTAGGAAGATCACCAGGCCTTTCCTCTGAGGCACCTCTAGGAAGGAGACCACCAGGCCTCTCCTCTGAGGCACCTCTAGGAAGCCTAAAAATGCCTTCTTTCCATTACTGGGTGAGCATGTTATCAGTTTGCACCTGTAAAAACACTCCACCGACTAATAAAATAAACCAGCATCTACAGCTGCTGATGTCCATCAATCACGATGTTGTCTGTTGGACAAGAAGTAATGACCTTTGTTTTCTTGACATTGAGAAGCCATCCATACTGAAGGTTGTAGACTTTGACCCTCTGTAGCAAGCATTTCATGTCCTCCTCAGTTTTGGCAAGCAAGGTTGTGCCATCTGCGTAATGAAGGTTGTTAATGACTCTTCCTCCAATCCTGATGCCACATTCTTCTTCATGAGAGCCAGGCTTCGTGAATTATTTCCCCATTACCGATTGAACAGGTGTGGAGAAAGGATCCATCCCTGATGTACACCCTTCCAGGTTTAAAGGCTGCAGTGTTCCCTTGCTGTGCATGGACAACAGCTTCTTGCTGTAGGTATAGCTTTTACATGAGCACAATTCAGTGTTCTGGGTCATGAGAGATGCAGAAAGGAAACTGTCAACAACTTCATCTTCCTTCCAATCAACACCCTTGTACCAGCAGTCAGGAGATCAGGAGACACACTGCTTTGGGCAAGTCTGCTGTCAGAGACCGCTCCAAAACACTGAAGAGCAATGATGTCAGTATGAAGACTAAGGTGTGCCTGATTCACGCCATGATCTTTTCAATCACTTGCTATCGTTGTGATAACTGAATAATGAATAAGGTTGACAGATTAATTGATGCCTTGAATTGTGATATTGGAGAAGAATAAGAACTATTCCATGGACTGCCAAAAAGCAGATATGTCTTTGAAAAGGTGTAACCAGAGTGCTCCATGGAAGTAAGGGTAGCGAAGCTCTGTCTCTCATACTTTGAACATGTTGCTAGGAGAGGCTGTTCCTTGGGAAAGGATATGCTTGTAAAGGGTCAGTGAAAAAGAGGAAGACTTTATTATTATTATTAATTTTAATGAAATTTACAGAGATTTTGGATTTCCATTCATTCATTGTTGCATTTTTCTCCCTGCCCTCCCCCAAGTCCACTCCACTATGCAGTCTTCATTCTGGACTCCTGTCATGACAACAATACCTTTATCATATATCCCTTTTAAATAGTTCTCTCTCTCTCTCATCTGTTTCAATGCAGTACTCATAATTTATCCCATCTTTCTCAGTCTCCTCCCAACCCCAATGTCAGTCTCATTTTACAACAGTGGCCCTACACAATATTTGTCCTTTGGTGACTGAGATATTTCACTCAGGATAATGTAAGAGGAAGACTTTCAACGAGGTGGATTAACATGGGACCTGCAGCAATGGGCTCAATGTCTTTAGAGATGGTGTGGATGACAGAGATTAGGACAGGACTCAGGTCTGTTGTTCCTGGGGTCACTGTGAGCCGTACTTGACTTGATGACACCTAATGACAACACAGAGCTGCTGAGGCACCGTGGTGAATAAAACACTGGGCTGTGAATCCAAAGGCCGGTGGTTCGAACCCACGGGAGAAAGCGGAGACGGAATGCTTCTGAGCAGATGCAGAATGCTTTCTGCTCAGTCCTGTGGGGTCACCTTGAGTGAGAGTCGGCTGTGCAGAGGTGGGCTTGGTCAGCGTGTGGGTGAGCCTTTCCTGGGGGGTGAAGAGAGGGCGCACAGTCAGACAGGGCCAGAGACTGTGCTCTGGGCTTATTTTAACTCGAGTTCCTCTTTCATGTCGGGGGCCAAACCTCACCCTCTTTTCTGAGCTCAGCCACAGTTTCGGAATGACTTGCTCACACCTGAGCGGCAGTGAGGCCACAGAGAGTCCCCACGCGCGGCATCAAAGCCGCTGGCTT